GGGCGCATGCACAGCACTGCACAAAGCGCAGAGCCCAACCCGCCTCTGACCCGCCCCACCTCAAAGCCCTCCAAAATCCGTCCCGGCTCCTCCGACGCCAGCGCCTCTGCCGCCACGGCCGCCGCCTCGTCCTCTGCGCCAGCGCCCTCCCCAGCGCCCCCACCCTGCCCTGCCGCCGCCGCCGCTGCTGCAGCCCAGCGCTCCCGCAGGCCCTCCGCCACTGCCGCCCCCAGCTCTGCCAGCCGCCCCCGCAGGTCCCTCTCCCGCTGCTGCTGCCGCTGCAGCTCGGCGCGCGCGGCGTCGAGCTCGTCCTGCAGCGCCGCGCGCGCCTCGGCGTGCCGCCGGCGCTCCGACTCGAGCGCAGCTGAGTGCTGCGACTGCAGGGCCGCGGTGTGCTGCGTCCACCTGGGCGGCAGCCAGGTATTGATTATGTTAAACAGCTGCAAACTGGCAGCCAGCGCATGCAATGCGTCCAGCCCGCGTTGGCCAGCCGCCTACCAGGGCAGTCGGCGCGAGCCACCCCACCTCTGTCGGGACTATGGATCCCTCTTTCCCCGCCAGAGCCCCATGCTGGGCAGGGCCGGGCCGTGTCAGCCGCGCACCTGCTGTTGACCTCCGCCAGCCGCGCCGCCCACTCCTTGCCTGCAGACGCCAGCCGCTGCCGCACCTCGTCGCGCAGTAGGGCCACCTGTCGCGGCGCAACGCAGGAGGGGGATAACGACGGGCCAAAGCGCCTGCATCCCTTGAGCCGCGCACCTCTAGCCACATGCCTTCAACTGCAAAACCTGTTCAGTTTCAGCCGCCATGCGGTTTCCTCGCATGCAGCTCTGAACCCTCTGTTTGCAGGCAGTCGCACTGCAACGCAAGTGCCCCCCTTCAGTCGGCGATCAACCCCCAGGCAGCGGCCTCCAGGCCCTGTTGCGCTGCTCGCCGCACCTTGCCGCGCAGCCCGTTGAGCTCGCCCCTCAGCGCGGTGCCGTGGCGCTGCAGCTGCGCGCTGCAGTCGTCCCGCGCCGCCGCCACCGCCGCCTCGGCCTGCCGCTGCACCTCGCCCACCCGCGCCTGCGAGACAAGGACAGGCAACAGGGTGCACTAATCATACCTCCTGCACCCGCACATCACCTTGAGAGCTGCAAAAAGTAGTCACACATGCGTGTACGGGAGGTGCTGTCCCAAGGCGCCGCAGTCGCGACGCCCCCGAGCCGCACCTCGAGCCCCGCCGCCCGCTGCTGCGCCTCCGCCGCCAGCGCCTCCTGCTGCCGCCGCGCCGCGCGGCAGGCGTCCAGCTCGGCCTGCAGCCAGGCGTTGACCTGCTGGAGGTCCATGCGGCCGCGCTGCGCCTCGGACAGCACGCGCTCCGTGTAGGTCGCCTGCTGGGCAGCCTCCTGCAACGCGGCAGAGGGGCGGATGGCAAACCATAGCCTTGGCGCCAGCCCTACTCCGAGAGCCAGAAAATATGTTGGCACTGAACGGGCCGCCCGAAAATGGGTGAAGACCAGGGAGTGTGAGAGAGATGAGGAGAAGCCGCCCCGCGCACCTGGGCGAGGGCGCCCTCCCTCTGCTGGGCGCTGGCCCGAAGCGCCGCCAGGTCAGCCGCCAGCTCTGAGCAGCGGTCGGACGCCGCTGCGGCCTGTCGAGATGGATGGCGGTGCCGAGTGAAGCGCGTGTGCTGCAGTTGGTGCTGGCGGGCTGAGAGATCCAGGTGTTTGTGACGCTTTGGCAGTTTCCACAGGCATAGACCGACTGTGCAGCGTCTGGCGCTTGCAGGTGCCAGAGCCTTGCATGGTGCAGCGGCGCGTCGAACAAGACCACGCAGCCTGGCGGCAGGGCTGCACCTGCTGCCTGAGTTCGCGGTTGTCTGCCGCCAGCGCGTCGAGGCGCTCCACCAGGGCGCGCCGCTCCTCCTCAAAGGCGGAGATGACGCCCTCCATGTCCTGTGTGGGCACGGATGGGCAATCGGAGGATTACAAGGAGGGTGGATTGCCCAGTAACCCAGGTCCGCTGGGCTGGGCTTGCTCTGAAATCTTATCATCCCAGGGGGTGTCACATGGCTGGTGAAAACAGGCGTTAGATTGAAGGGAGCAAGACATTGAAGGAGAGGGCATTAAGCAGCCTGCCTACATCGAGCCTGGGCCAGCCGCACCTGGATATTCGTGAGGTTGGCTGCCAGAATGGTGTCTGTCAAACTGCCGCCGCCGCCGCCCGCCGTGCCCGGGCTGAACGACACCCCCGCAGCCGCCAGGCTCGCCGCTCCAGAGCGCCGCCACAGGCCGGACGCGCCGGCGCCGCCGCTGCCTGCTGGGGACACGCTCCGTGGCGCCAGCCACGGGTCGCGGGCGGGGCTGCTGTGGGTGGCTGCGCCGCCGCCGAGCGGGCTGGACCGCGGCGCTGGGCTGCCGGTTGGCGTGACCATGCCGCTGCCCGCGGCGCTCCCAGCGCCTTCGTAGCACGTCAGCCGCCGCTGCAGCCCCTGCTTGGCAGCTTCCATCCCCTGCATCACCACGCCCATCCGCCGCTGGTCCTCCACGGCCGCCTGCAGCCGCTGCTCCAGGTCCGCGTTTGACCGGTCAAGATCGTCGCGCGCTCGCCGCAGGTCGTCGCCCGCGGACCGCAGCGCCTGCGCGTCGTGCTGGGACGCCCGCAGCGCGTCCTCAGCTGCCGCGAGGGAGCGGCGCAGCGCGTCGCGGTCGGCGCACACCTCCTGCAGCCGCTGGCCCTGGGCCGCCGCCTCGGCCTGCAGCCACGAGACCTCCCGGGACGCAGCGTCGCGCGCCGCGGCGAGCTGCGGCGGGTGGTGAGGGGCAGGCAAGGACATGCAGCGTGTTTCAGGAGCGTAGACTGGACCTCGGGTATTACAAACTCGATTGGATTTCTAGAGCCTAGCCAAGAATCTAGCAGAGCTGCAACAACTCATCACCCAAAGCGGATACGGCTTGATGCACCCAGGCACTTTGCATCGTGACTCCCGAGCCGCCCCACCTCTTCCAATCGCGCCTCCAGCCGCCGCCGCTCCTCCCGCTCCCGCTCCCACCGCTCGTCCGCCGCCGCGGCCGCCTCCCGGCCCCCTGCCGCAGACTGCTGCGCCCCCGCGGCCGCCGCCTGCGCGTCGGCTGCGGCCGACTGCGCGGTGGCGAGCGCCTGCTGCAGGGCCGCCTCACGCGCGACCGCCGCGCTGAGCTGGTGCTGTGTCTGCAGGGCGTCTCCTTGCAACCGCTGGATCTGTCGTGGCATGAATTTGTGTGTGCGTCGCAAATTGCATACGCATATATCATGGTAAGAGTGATATATAAGGAATGTGAGCTTGTGGTGCAGCTTCCAGAAGTTGTCAGCGACGCAGCAAGGGGATGCTATACTTGCGGCATCGATGATGAGGTACCACGCAAGCAGCGGTCGCGCAGCCGCCGCCGCCAACCTGCAGCTGCAGCTCCTGGCGGGCCGCGTCCGCGCCCTCTGCTGCTGCTTGCGCGGCCTGCCGCTGCTGCTGGAGCATGGCCCGCTCCGCCTCAAACACCTGCGGGTCACGGCGCGCAGGTCAAGAACATTCCGTACGCCATGTAAAGTGGTGCAGTGCAGCACACCCCAACGTGCAGCGAAGGGGTGCCAAGCCTCAACGCGCCGCGCGCACACCGACCTTCAGGCGCGCATCCAGCGCCGCGGCGTGGGCCGTCGCCTCGTTGCGCTCGGCGGTGCGCGCCTCCAGCTGCGCGCCGGGGTGTGATGGGTTGGAGCGCGGTCAAGGCACTCGCTGCAGGGCTCCAGCGGGCATGGTTGTCACGCGGCATCAAGCCTCACAGGCCCTCACGCCGCGGGGTGGCGACGCTGTGCAAAGACAGGCCTAGGATGAAAACAATGCAAGCCAGACAATGCAAGAAAGAGCTACTTGCAACGCACAAAACGGGCACTCACCTTGGCGTTGAGCTCTGCGGCGGACTCGCGCTCCCCGCGCGCCGCCGCCGCGCCGATCTCGCCGACCGCGCCCTGTAGCTGCGCCAGCGCGCGCCCCAGCTCCGCCAACCGCGCCTCCAGCGCCGCGTTCGCCGCGCGCAGCTCGTCGGCCTGGGCGCGCAGCGCGGCGCAATCCCTGCTGGAGGACGCCAGGTCCTACGCTCGGCGGCGAGCCCGCAGCAGCGAGGTGGGGTTGCGGCAAGCGAGTGTCAGGATGCAACTCCTGTTGCAACATTGATCAGCCGCATCTCCATCGGCAGCACCTTTGAGGGTTTGTTGCCGGTCGCTCTGGCCGCTTTTCCTGGTCCCCGCGTCTTTTGCAATCCTATGGTCAGCAGCCTGCCCTCCATTGAACCAAGGCCCCGCGCCCTTGCCTGCGTGAGCGCCGCGACCTGCGCCTCCAGCTTCGCGCGCGCCTCCGTCGCGTCTCCGAGCCGCGCCTCTGTCCGCTGCAGCTCCAGCGACCAGCTGAGCTCGGCCTGCTGCAGCCGCAGGTGCGCCGCGCCCTCGGCCTCTGCAACGTGCACGCGCGCGCGTGCTCGCGATGAGATGTTGAACTGCGAGCGCAGCGCTCAAGACGCAAGGTGCCCTGCGTTGGCGTCACCACACATCTGCATGGCACAAACACTCGTGGCCACGTGGTGCGCTTGCGCACCAGCTTATCCCATAAACTAGCAGACCTCGTTTTCAAAGTCAATGTTTTGCCGCTCTGACACCAGCCGCCCCTCGTCCCCTCACCCGAGAGCCGCGCATCGCTGCGCGCCGCCCACTCGGCGTCCTGCGCGTCCAGCCGTCGCCGGCACTCCGATGACAGCTCAGCGTGCAGCGCCTGGACACGCGCCTCCCACGCCTGGCATGTGGTGGGTCGAGAACGGTATTGCTGCAGGGGCAGCAGGCGGCATGCAGCCACAACCCCAAAAACCACAGCTTCCGGGCACTCTCTCTGGACCCAGTGCCTCCAAGCCGAAAGCCCCCTCAACGGCGCCTCGTCTGCGAGCACCATAGTTTGTTGCTGCCAAGCCCCAGATCACCTGCGCCGCCTCGGCCCTGCCCAGCCGCTCCGCCACAATCTGTCGCAGCCGGGCGTCAAACGTGTCCACCAGCGACCCGCCGCCGCCCTCAGAGCCGCCCGCCAGGCTCGCGGCGAACGCGGCCGCGCTCAGGGAGGCGGCGGCGGCCGCGGAGGGCGAGCCGGGGGCGTCTAGCTGGTGGCTGGGCGGCTGGGGGGGCGCCAGCACCTCCAGCGCTGACATATAGCGCGCCTGCAATTCCAGCTCCTGCAGCGCACCCAACGAGTTTGGCGGCCCGCCCTTGTTAAGCACGGCAGCTACTGGGCCCGTACCCGTGACCCGCAGCGCCGCTCTGCTAATGCTGCGCAGCCAACCCCCGGCCGGCCCTTAAGAATACCAAGGCGGCCCCTCAGCCGCCTCACACACAGCCTCTTTGCGCGTCCTCACCTGTATGCGTGTCTCGTACGCCAGCTGCTGCCCCCTCAGCTCCAGCTTCACCCGCTCCTCCGCCGCCGCCAGCGCCGCCTCCACCGCGGCTGTTTGGCGCGTGGCGGCCGCCTCCAGCTCCGACTGCAGCGACTCCACCTGGGACTGCAGGGTGGACGCCTGGCGGCCGCAGGGCAGGGGAAGAGGCAGAGAACGCGCATTGGGCACATGCTGCTGCTGACATTGGCAAGGAGGGCTGGTGGGTTGTTGATGCACGCAGACCTGCAGTTCTCGCACGCAAACGAGGCGGGGTCGTATGCAGGGCCGCTCACGTGGGAATGCAGGGAGGCGGCCTCCGCCTCATGGGCCGCCCGCTCGTCTGCCAGCCGCCCCTCCAGCTCAAGGACCTGCAGGCGCCCATGTCTCATTACATGTCAGTGCGTTGAGCAGCGCCAACGATACGACGAAGCACAGAGACAAACAACTGCCCAAAGCAGCAAGGCAAGAACGGGGAGTGAACGAGCACTTTGCAGGCTTGCGCCGACACACCCCATCTGCAGGCCCATGCCCACCTGTGCCATGCGGCCCGCCGCCTCGTGCTGCGCTGCCGCAATCTGCGTCGCCATCTCGCCCATGCGCCTGTCCAGCTTCCTGGCCGCTTTCGAGTGCTGCCTGCCGGAATGGACGGTAGCGCGGGGTCATCAAACTCACGGCGTTCGGAGCATTGACCCGTGCCGCAAACAACAGTGCAACATCCCCGATCTCGCCGCTGGCTGTTTGGGGGGGAGGGCGGGCGCTGGCTGCAATCATGACAGCTGCCAACGCGGTCCGGACCCATTCACATGCAATATGCAACAACTTCCTCCAGCAGCTGAGCCGCACCTATCAATGTCCTTGATCGCTGCCCTCGCCGCCTCAAGCTCCGCCGACAGCGCCCCCCGCGCCGCCTCCCCGGCTGCGGCCTCCTCCGCCGCCGCCGCCCCGCGCGCCCGCAGCTCGCCCTCCGCCGCCTCCGCCGCCGCGCGCGCGGCCGCCTCGCCCTGCGCGAGCGCCTCGGCGCGGTCTGCCAGGGCCGTGATCCGCGACTGCAGGGACCGCCGGTCCGCCTCTGACTCGACCAGCAACCCCTCCAGCTCCCGCAGGGCGCCAGCCAGCTCCGTCTTGGCCGCCCTGGCGTCCGCCGCCGACGCCGCTGCTTCGTCCGCGCGCACGCACGCCGCCTCTGCCGCGGCGCGCGCCGCGCCCAGCGCCGCGCGTGCCTCCGACAACTCGGCGGTCAGGGCGGCTGCGTCGCGCTCGGC